TACTTACTAAGTTAATCGTAAACTATAGAGTAGACCAGGAAACAAGCAGCATTAAAAACGTAGTGGGTCGTTACAGTAGCCAGCAACAGAAAGTCAGTGTGAGTCTCTGTGTTAGCAACAGAAAGTCGAAATGAGTCTCTGTGTTAGCAACAGAAAGTCGAAGTGAATCTCTGTGTTAGCAACAAAAAGTCGAAGTGAGTTTCTGTGTTAGCAACAGAAAGTCGAAGTGAGTCTCTGTGTTAGCAACAGAAAGTCGAAGTGAGTCTCTGTGTTAGCAACAGAAAGTCGAAGTAAGTCTTTTCAATTGCAATAGAAACTCGAAGTGAGTCTGCATTAGCAACAGAAAGTCGAAATGAGTTTTTGTATTACCAATAGAAAGTCGACTAGTAGACAGAGAAGATGGTGATATGGACATATTCTGAGAGAGAGAGAAAAAAAAAAAAAACTAGCAGAAAAACACCAAAGGCACTGACATTTGTAAAAGATGGATTGAGAAAAACCCTGTGTGGGTTCCGGGATCCGATTGGAGGGTAAAACAAAAACAGAGCCACTGCCTCCACAAGCATGTCGTAGGAGTCGAATCTGCCTGAGCAGCCAGGAACAGCCAACTGCACACAAATAAGCCATTAAAAACGGACGTACGGGCAAAACTCAGGCCCTGGCACAAAGTCCAAATGGACAAACAACCAAGCAAAAGTCAGGCCCTGGCACAAAGTCCAAATGGACAAACAACCACGCAAAACTCAGGCCCTGGTACAAAGTCCAAATGGACAAACAACGACGCAAAACTCAGGCCCTGGCACAAAGTCCGAATGGACAAACAACCACGCAAAACTCAGGCCCTGGCTCAAAGTCCAAATGGACAAACAGCCAGAGCTTACAACCGGTGAACGTAGAAGAAGAAGAAGGACTGAGGACGTCCAAGAAAATTCCTAACGCAAACGGTGATGAGAGATAGTAAATGTTCAGGAATGGTTGCATCCACAACATTGAATATGACTGTACATGATACATAAGAATGAAGAAATAGGCGGTAAGCTACGTGACATTTAATGGCACAGCAGTCTGCGCAGAATAGAGGGAATAAAATGGTATGATAGAATAACTAATGTAGAACTTTGGGAGAGAACTAAACAGGCTCCAGTGGATCAGGAAGTGAGGAAAAGACGCACACACTGAGAAAACAGGAGAACAGCATTACTAGAATGTCTTTGCATTGGAACCCACAGGCGCATAGGAATAAAGGAAGGCCAAAAAACACATGCAGAAGAGAGCTGGAGAACGAGGTTAGAAAGATTGGGAGGACATGGGGAGAGTTCCATGCAATGGCGAAGGATAGAACGACTTGGCGTGAGTTGGCTGAGGGCCTATGCTCCATTGGGGGATAGAAAGGCAGAAGAAGAAAGAAGAATTTTACGACTCTGATACATTTTCTCTGTTCAATAGGTCAGCGCTGCAATCCATTACTTCCGATTATTTACCTGTCGTATTTGACAAACATCGGACAAACCCACTGATGCTCCGTCTCCCTTAGCAAATGTTTTGAAGTATAAACACTAATATTTTGAGTGCCACACAGCCTGGGACTAAGTCGAACCCATTCTCTCACATACAACTCAACAAATGACATATTTGATGGCGTCAGAGAAAAAATCCCCTGCGTTTCTATAAGTTTTTTTTTTTTTTGGTTTGCTGGCACCTTTCCGTCTGTCTAGACGATAGTCTTATGAGAAAACATGGGACTCACAGCCCATGGCGATGGCGAGTGTGACTAGCAAGACCCACCCACGTTAAAATTGGTTTCTAGAATTAAAGCATTAGATTTCAAGACCATTGTTGAAGTCGTTTGTGTTTAGTGCGTTTCTTTTCAGAGGCTCAGCTCTCAGCAAATCATTTCTTCTTTCATTCTCATTCAATTCCTGATCTGCTCCCTCTCCATGGCGTCCCCCCCCCCCTTTCCTCCTCACGAATCTTCCTAGATACTTGTATTATTCATGTCCCACTTGACACATATTTATATCGTAGCAGAAGTGCTAGTATTCGAATACATGTTATCAATTGCCATCAGACACACCCATGCAACTTCCCACCACACACACACACACACACGAACACACCTAAAACGATAACAAATGTTGATTGTTAATGTAAGCAAGACAAAAACATATCATTTATTCTCACCAACACTTGGTTATGTTTGATGTTTGTTGACGTAACCACGAAAGAGAAAGAAAGAGTAGACCTGTTTCACAGAAGTAACAGAGATAGGCACATAATAAATGTTTGGGGATCTCCAAAACCGTTTTCGTTTGGCGGGTAACATATTCACAGATAGAAGACAGATGAAATTATGAACGATACTCGTGTGTGTCAGTATATTCTGACTTTCTCTTTCGTCGTTGCTTCAACATGCATCAAACATGATCACGTTTTGGTGGGAGTAAATGATATGTACGGGAATTCACAAATAAAAGCTGCAAACAAGACGTACAATATCTTGAGGCCTCGGGGATGTGATTTTACAGAAAAATCCGTAGAATTCCTTGGACAGCTAAAAGAAGTAACTTAGATGTTTTTTAAGAGGCACACAACTTATCACACACATCACAAAGAGACAGTCATATTTTTTTGAGGGTTTTGTTATGAGAAAAGGAAAAATGGAACACACTGTAGCCACTGAAAAGATTTGTGGAAAGAGAGGCAGAGGAAAATAGCGCGAAAAGATTCTCTATAGCCTCTTGTCATGGTATGAAATGGTGTCAACACATAAAGTATCCCAAATTGTAGAGAGGCATGATCTCCCACGCCAGTCGGCAAGGCACTTGATGATAATGATGAAGAAGCTGCAGTCGATATCACTAATCGAATTTCTACTTTTTTTTATGTGTTCGTCAACGGTTCGTAGTTTGTGCTGTTATTTATGGCTAGTCTGCAATACTTGCGCCATTCAGCTCAACACATACAGTTTCAGCAAAAAAAGCCTAATTAGTGGCCCTTTCTTGTTGGGGAGGAGGAACAAAAACGGAAGTGAGTTGGGAGTTTGTTACGGCATCAGATATTTGTTAGACTTCTGGCTCGTTTCATAAAACACTGCAGTCTCATTGTCGTGTGGTCATCGTTATTTTTCGTCACCTGGTCTATAGGTGGTGCCCCCCCTTCCCAGTCCCCTCAAGTAGACCCATCAGAGGTATCAGCAAGCACCCTCTTCGGTCCTCAAGGGCGTCTGTGTGTGTGTGTGTGTGTGTGTGTGTGTGTGTGTGGTGTGTGGTGTTGTGTGTGGTGTGTGTGTGTGTGTGTGTGTGTGTGTGTGTGTGTGTGTGGTGTGTGTGTGTGTGTGTGTGTGTGTGTGTGTGTGTGTGTGTGTGTGTGTGTGTGTGTGTGTGTGTGTGTGGTGTGTGTGTGTGTGTGTGTGTTGTGTGTGTGTGTGTGTGTGTTGTGTGTGTGTGTGTGTGTGTGTGTGTGTGTGTGGTTGTGTGTGTGTGTGGTGTGTGTGTGTGTGTGTGTGTGTGTGTGTGTGTGTGGTGTGTGGGTAGTTGTGTGTTGTGTGTGTGTGTGTGTGTGTGTGTGTGTGTGTGTGTGTGTGTGGTGTGTGTGTGTGTGTGTGTGTGTGTGTGTGTGGTGTGTGTGTGTGTGTGTGTGTGTGTGTGTGTGTGTGTGTGTGTGTGTGTGTGTGGTGTGTGTGTGTGTGTGTGTGTGTGTGTGTGTGTGTGTGTGTGTGTGTGTGTGTGTGTGTGTGTGTGTGTGTGTGTGTGTGTGTGTGTGTGTGTGTGTGTGTGTTGTGTGTGTGTGTGTGTGTGTGTGTGTGTGTGGTGTGTGTTGTGGTGTGTGTGTGGTGTGTGTGTGTGTGTGTGTGTGTGTGTGTGTGTGTGGTGTGTGTGTGTGTGTGGTGTGTGTGTGTGTGTGTGTGTGTGTGTGTGTGTGTGGGTGTGTGTTGGTGTTGTGGTGTGTGTGTGTGTGTGTGTGTGTGTGTGTGTGTGTGTGTGTGTGTGTGTGTGTGTGTGTGTGCTGTGTGTGTGTGTGTGTGTGGGTGTTGTGTGTGTGTGTGTGTGTGTGTGTGTGTGTGTGTGTGTGTGTGTGTGTGGTGTGTGTGTTGTGTGTGTGTGTGTGTGTGTGGTGTGGGTGTGGTGTGTGTGTGTGTGTGCCTTTTTCCCGCTCCTGGCTGCTATTTGGATGCAAGTCCAACAAGGCGGGTCCCTGATATACCATTTAACCTAAAATACAAGTCCAACAAGGCGGGTCCCTGATATACCATTTAACCTAAAATACAAGTTATTATTGGGGCACTTGCAACGGTTTCATCCGTCTCGTGAAACATGCAGTTCAGTGTGAGTGAAAAAACTGTTTCGCCTCCAGGATGAGAACCAAACGTGTACAGATCATGGAAACGCCATTCAACTGTACAGTCGGTGAATGTTAAAGTTCCCCCTATGGGTCTGCTCCGCCCATTTTCACACTAGGTCACTTTTGATTGGTGCTTGCTCAGGGTCGTCGACTTTGCTGAAAGATACGAGGGTGTCCTGGTGTACTGTTTGCTCGAAAAGCTTTCTGCGGTGTCTTACATTTACGTTTTTCTTCCCAGAAAGAGAATACGTGTGAGAATGTGCAGTTCGTTGTTTCTTGCCACTAGGGCAGATGCACACCGACTTAAAAGGAAGTCCCCAGTTAGTCGACCCCTACCACACGCTTGTTGGGAATGCAGTGGACTATTCTTGTTGTCCCCTCAATGGAGACCCGGAACCTACACGAGGAGGTGGATACAAGACACTGAACGTGCATTGGCTATGAAAGCACGTGGGGTTTGAGAATCAGCTAGAGAAAGAGACTTCCAGGCGTGCCGTGATGAGAGCGACGTTCTGTAAGGCTGATTAGTTGACTATGTCTTTGGGGATTAGAAGGAAGCAGTTCGATGATCAGAGACATATCTGACCGTTATAAAAACCAACGTTGAGCTTCCTCTTGACGTGAGAGTCTTCAACAGTTTACAACACACGGGTACTCACCCAGTGGTTTTCCCAGGATGAGATGATGACAGCTGGGCCGAAGCTGCGGGCGGGGTTCATGCCGGCTCGGGTGTAGGGAACCTTGAACACATCAACCAGGAACATGGTGTCACAAAGATGTATAGAAGAGAATTATTAGACAAAACAAACTCAAGAACTTCGCTTTAACAATTATAGAACAGAATGGTAAGAGAAAACAAACTGAAGAGCTCTCCTGTAACAACAACAAAATAATAAGAATCGACATCACAGAACTATCGACATTCCAATAAGCGCTAGGTCCTCAATTTCAGCAGCAAGCGCAGAGTTCCAGTTTCAGTGGCACCAATAACAGTGTGATTGTACATCCGTCTCTCCTAAACCTTGAGAAAGCGCCGCACTGTTTACTCCCTTTCAAACTACCCTTATGACATCCAGCTTGTCATGCATGAATTCAAAACTAACTGGTGCAGAACCAGCCAGCCCATCTGCCTATTCGTTTCCCAACACACAAGCACTACCTGAAGGTATATCCAAAGGACGCTAACTACCTGGTACCCCCGAAGCAGTGCTTGCCATTCTGCGTGGGGCTTACGTGTTTCTACCTTTCTCAACATGCTCTGTTGAGTCTCTACTATAACAACAACCGATATAATACCTGGTTAGATCAAACAGAAACAATAACTTTATAAAACAAAATGTCTGCCTCCACAATTGCATTCTGTGGGATTACCATCTGATTAATGTGAATCGGATAATCATAGATCGCGGAAATCCACATTTGACCACAAACTAATGTGTTCCGGTGTACTCTGCAGGCTAATAAGTAACCTACAGCTATAACAATGCAATATATAATTACCAGAGGTAGGGCTAAGTCAAGTGGAGTCCAAAGTCATTGCCACCGTGGACCAAGTCATGTCACAAGTTGCCAAGAATGATTCTCAAGCCGATTCCCGAGTAAGGTCCCTTTGTGTTTCAAGTCATGCATGTGACGAACGATGCTTTCGGTGATTTGGTGAAACGAAAGTGGCAGTGTAAAGGGGGAAAAAAAGTGAAAAATAGGAAGAAGTCATATGTCAAAACTTGATAAATCTCAGCCCAGTTTATTCTCTCCGGTTATAAATGAAGACATTTTGAAATGCGACAATCACCAAACCTCTCAGCGGCCTGTCGCGAAGAACAAGTCGTGGGAAAAAAGGTGGCAAGCCCAGTCATAAGTAGCTAGACAAGACACCAAGTCTAGTCATAAGTGGCTAGACAAGACACCAAGTCTAGTCATAAGTGGCTAGACAAGACACCAAGTCTAGTCATAAGTGGCTAGACAAGACACCAAGTCTAGTCAAGTAGCTAACAAGACACCAAGTCTAGTCATAAGTGCTAGACAAGACACCAAGTCTAGTCATAAGTGGCTAGACAAGACACCAAGTCTAGTCATAAGTGGCTAGACAAGACACCAAGTCTAGTCATAAGTAGCTAGACAAGACACCAAGTCTAGTCATAAGTAGCTAGACAAGACACCAAGTCTAGTCATAAGTGGCTAGACAAGACACCAAGTCTAGTCATAAGTAGCTAGACAAGACACCAAGTAGTCATAAGTAGCTAGACAAGACACCAAGTCTAGTCATAAGTGGCTAGACAAGACACCAAGTCTAGTCATAAGTAGCTAGACAAGACACCAAGTCTAGTCATAAGTAGCTAGACAAGACACCAAGTCTAGTCATAAGTGGCTAGACAAGACACCAAGTCTAGTCATAAGTGGCTAGACAAGACACCAAGTCTAGTCATAAGTAGCTAGACAAGACACCAAGTCTAGTCATAAGTGGCTAGACAAGACACCAAGTTTAGTCATAAGTGGCTAGACAAGACACCAAGTCTAGTCATAAGTAGCTAGACAAGACACCAAGTCTAGTCATAAGTGGCTAGACAAGACACCAAGTCTAGTCATAAGTAGCTAGACAAGACACCAAGTTTAGTCAAACTGCCAACAACTGCCTTATTTTACCAGTCTTTGAAGTGTGTATGCAGGTAAGTCGTGGCCCGCGTGGCTAGTGCTGTCACCATAACTGTGTAGGTGATTTTATTTTGCCCCAGGCAGGAAAAAATCCATATCCTTACCAAGGTTTCGAACCCAGGTCTTCCGCTTGAGAGCCCAGCGTCCTAACCGTTCCACCAGCCGCATGTGTTTAATTAGGCACTCGGACTCACGTGTCCTAGTCACGTGACTCGAGTCCCACCCTCTGATTAATTACTGAAAGATGATCTACCCGACAAAGGATATGAATTAAAGGTAACAATAACAACATACATCTACACCAACTTACAGCAAACAGGTGGCAGACCACTGCAGCCAGGCCGATGGTCAAAGGGGCTGATCCCTTGAGATCTGATCTCTTGTCGTCCTGGCAGGCAAACACCGTCAGTACATAGACAAATGTAATGCTCAGCTCCACTCCAAATCCTTGCGGTTTCCCAAAGAAACATTTATATTAGAGCTCATGGTTTCTGGAGTTTCTCATTGTAATACTTTTGGGATTTTGGAACAGGTTAAGTTAAGACAGTTTACAGGTTATATGAGGGTTAATGTTTAGGAAATGAAAATCAGTAACTATTAAAATGAGATGTCTCAGAAGGGATAAAGAAGTGACCATAAGCGTTGAAATTCAGGAATGAGGTCATAAGAGAAGTTGACACAGAAGCAATTTTAAGTTGAGTTGAGTTGAGTCAAGAATTGACATCACAGCACTCGGGAAATTCTCATAAGCGCATCGACCCCATCTTCAGCAGCCAGCGCAGAGTTCCAATACTAATGGTGCCGGTCGTAAGAAGTAATTCTAAATTACATGCAAAGACAGCAAGTCAAATAGTTTGCCCACTTGGAGAGAATGCCTTTTGATGCCATACCATATAAAGCATACACCAGAAGAGTAGAAGGTTGCATGAGATTGATCAAGAACAAAATGGAAAGATAACACGAGAGAAGCTCTACAAAGGTACAGTGTGTCTATGCTCGAGGCGGAGGGAAAAGCACGAAGAAGAACCTTATAGCTTCCTCGACACTTGGAGTGGTAAAAGAGGATGTAAGGAAGAATATGTTTATGAAATGATCTAAAGGTACGAGATTATGATAAGTCAAAGATTATAAAATGTGAGGGGTGTCAGGTTATGGAAGGGTAAATGTAAATGAAAAGTTTGGAGTTACTTAAGGTGCCAGATTATAAAGGGTCAAAGTGCAGAACAAGTTTGAAGTGTTTTAGGGTGCGAGATTATAAAGGGTCAAAGTGCAGGAAAAGTTTAAAGTTACTTAAGGTGCGTGATTATACAGGGTCAAAGTGCAGGACACGTTTAAAGTTACTTAAGGTGCGAGATTATAAAGGGGGAAAGTGCAGGAAAAGTTTAAAGGTACTTAAGGTGCGAGGTAATAAAGGGTCAAAGTGCAGGAAAATTTTGAAATTTAACGGAGCTTTGGTTTAACCGAAAGGTCAAGGTTTATTAAAAGCTTAAATTATTAAAATTTAAGGTTAATACGGGTCAAAGTTTATAAATTAACAAATGTAGTAGATTGGGGAAAGGTTCAAGGGTTAGGAAACGTAAAGGTAAATTCTGCATCATCAAGTGCCTTGCCAGCTGGCGTAGGCGTTGATACATCTCCACAGAACTCAGACTTTGGTGTTCTGGATCAATTCCACTGAAGACATTCCTCCATGCCACTGTCTTAAACCACCGACCATCATTTCTCTTGGTCTGCCTCTGCCTCTTCTACCAGTGATCTTTTCAGTCGTCATGATACTGTTCCAGTGCTCTCTTTCTCATCACATGACCAAAGAACGTCTGTCTCCTTCTCATTGTTGAATATAATTTTCTACTTTAATTATCCATTTCCAGGCGATCAATGTTGGTTATTCTGGCAGTCCAAGGTATTCGCAAACATTCTTCTCAAGAACCACGCATCAGTTGCCTCCAAACTCTCCTTAATTTGCTCACATTCCAAGATCCACTGCCATACAACAGTACTTGTATTTCCTCTATTATAATTCCGTCTGATCTGGCTATTATTCCTTTCTTCATACGTTTGATGACATCAGAGGCTTCTTCTTTTAAAATGAATGACCCTTCTACGTTATTTTCTGTTGTTAAATCTGTTCTTTCTCCATTATTTAAGCCTCGTATGTATTCATTTAATCTCTCTATTACAGAATAGTCCATTAATATCTTTCCCGTTTTTGACTTTAAATATTCTATAAATACTCTTATTTGTAAAGGTAAATTACAATTTCACATACAATAGAACAAACACAACTGAAAGTAGCCACATCGATATCACAACCTGTTCTTACCTTGAGCGGAGCTAACTCCTGGAGACAGATCGTTTGCACCCAATGTGCCTCCAGGTGAGAGTCCGTATAGGATGCCTGCACCCACGATGCCTCCAATGATCTGGGCAATAATGTACAAGACGCCCCTGACCACGGAAACAGTAAAATTGTTAGTCGATTATATTAACATTAGTGAAATCTTAACACTGATGAAATGTTAACACCGATGAATTGTTGACTACTAGATCACACAGTGAACAGTTGTTTAGTGGAATGCGAACTGACTTCATTGAATGGAACTTTGTCATATGAGGCTCGGACGAGAGTCTTTTCTTTTAACTCCCCCCATATCAGAGAATCATAGGTTTCATGGGGAGTTCCTGGCAAAGTCCAATATTTTAGGGTTGTTGAGGAATGAACAAATGAACACAGACCAACACTAACCGTAACCCCCTCCCCTAATACTTCTGGATTCTACCGGGAACTTTCCATGAAGTCTCTGAGTCTCCGAGATGGGGTGAACTAAAAGAAAAGTACACAGATCTACTTCAAAGAGCGGCTTACGTTCGCTGAGAGAGTCGCACAAAAAAGGGAACTCCGCCGCTTCACAGACGATCCAACGGGGGATATGGGACAGAGCTTTGGTCTACTTCAGATGGTGGAACCACCTGTAGTGAGGGTTACCACATCGAGTGGACTGATGGAGTTAGCAGCATTTTGAGTACCCCATTTTTTAAGCATGAGACAAGTTCTAATTTTAGTCTGGCGCTGAAAGGAGGAGGAGGAGAAGGAGAATAATAATAATAACAATAAAAAAAAAATAATAACCAGAAGAAGAAGACGAAGAAGGAAAAAGAAGACAGAAGAAGAAGAAGAAGATACAATAATATTAAAAATAATATATATATATATATATAAAATTTTGAGCTGAAATGCTTTAGAAAGATTCTCAGAATATCTTGGACAAAGAAAAGGAGAAATACTGACATCTTGAAAGATCTGAACATCAAGGAAGATTGGCTAATAAACAACATCCTGTCTCGGAAGCTGAAATATTTTGGTCATATCAGGTCCCACGACGGATTGGAAAAAAATTATAGCAGAAGGCATGGTACCAGGAAGAAGGGGCAGGGGCCGACCGACACGAAGATGGGCACAGTATATAAGTGACTACATGAGTATGAAAGTACATGAGGCGGGAGAACTGGCGAGAGACCGAGTTTCTTTCAGGCAGACTGTGATGAGAGCGACGTTCTGCAAAGGACCTGCTACATGATGATGATCATTATAAAGTAATAGTAATACCAATAATAATAATAATAATAACCAGAAGAAGAAGCAGAAGAATTGGAGGAGTAAGAAAATGATGAAAAATGAAAAAGTAACTAAAGAAAAATGAATACTGTTAAGCTACGGAACTTTGGGATACTTGGCAAAAAAATTAATTTTTACTGGAAGAAAAAATTTAGCAGAAAGTTCCTTTTCGAAAACCGTCAGTAGAAAACACAGACAAGAGCGCAGACTAAACGGTTGCTTGTTGATAGAAAGTTCAAGAAACTCAGCTGTACACACAGCGCACCTGAATGCTAGTGATCACTATGCTCCAGAAGCCACAATTTGAAAACCACTGCACTAAGGTAAGAACATAAACGGTGATAAAAAGTAAAAGTACAAATCCTTTTTCCACGCCTTGAGGCGTATTGGGAATGTAGGGGTAGACTTATATTTTTATAAACCAGTCAGCACTTGGCGGGTGATGTGGTCACTCCGGCCGCCTTTTCTTCCCAGGACTACACCTGGTACCCACTTAAGGCTGGGTCGACCTGAGAGTCAATGTCCCTTTTGAAAAAAAAAAGGAAAAAGTTCGGCTACGTCAGGACGCGAACCCACGACCTTTCGATCCGCAGGCGGGCGTCTGACCACCTACGCCACGGTGACTCCCTGAAAACCGTGATGCTTTCATAATTAAATTTGGTTCAAATCTTGACTGTCTTTTCTTCTGTTGTTTCTTTCTTCTGTCCCAGACCCACGTTTCCTTGTTTCTTTCTTCTGTCCCAGACCCACGTTTCCTTGTTTTTTTCTTCTGTCTCAGACCCACGTTTCCTTGTTTCTTTCTTCTGTCTCAGACCCACGTTTCCTTGTTTCTTTCTTCTGTCTCAGACCCACGTTTCGTTGTTTCTTTCTTCTGTCTTAGACCCACGTTTCGTTGTTTCTTTCTTCTGTCCCAGACCCACGTTTCGTTGTTTCTTTCTTCTGTCTCAGACCCACGTTTCGTTGTTTCTTTCTTCTGTCTCAGACCCACGTTTCGTTGTTTCTTTCTTCTGTCCCAGACCCACGTTTCGTTGTTTCTTTCTTCTGTCCCAGACCCACATTTCGTTGTTTCTTTCTTCTGTCTCAGACCCTCGTTTCGTTGTTTCTTTCTTCTGTCCCAGACCCACGTTTCCTTGTTTCTTTCTTCTGTCTCAGACCCACATTTCGTTGTTTCTTTCTTCTGTCTCAGAGCCACGTTTCCTTGTTTCTTTCTTCTGTCCCAGACCCACGTTTCCTTGTTTCTTTCTTCTGTCCCAGACCCACGTTTCCTTGTTTCTTTCTGCATATGTCCGTATATCTTTCTGTGATGCATTTCTTTCTTTCTTTCTTTCTTTCTTTCTTTCTTTCTTTCTTTCTTTCTTTCTTTCTTTCTTTCTTTCTTTCTTTCTTTCTTTCTTTCTTTCTTTCTTTCTTTCTTTTTTCTTTCTTTTCTTTCTTTCTTTCTTTCTTTCTTTCTTTCTTTCTTTCTTTCTTCGTCTTTCTTTCTTTCTTTCTTTCTTTCTTTCTTTTCTTTCTTTCTTTCTTTTTCTTTCTTTTTTTCTTTCTTTCTTTCTTTTCTTTCTTTCTTTTCCTTCTCTTTTCTTTCTTTCTTCTTCTTTCTTTCTTTCTTTCTTTCTTTCTTTCTTTCTTTCTTTTCTTTCTTTCTTTCTTTCTTTTCTTTCTTTTCTTTCTTTCTTTCTTTCTTTCTTTCTTTTCTTTCTTTCTTTTTTCTTTTCTTTCTTTTTTTTCTATTACTTCGTTTTTTGTATTCTCTACATTCTACTTAATCGTTTTTATATATTCTCTGACATTCTATTTAATCTAAAAAATATATATATATATACACAACAACAACAAAAAGAATGACCGAACGCCACCAAGAGACTGACCTAATGATGCTGACTCTGCGGGTGAACAAGGCCGCCGTTGTGACTGCGGGGTTGACGTGAGCCCCGGAGATGTGCTGGAACACCAGAACCACAGTCGCCACGGCCAGCCCGAACGTTAGAGCCACACGCACTATATTCCCTTCAGGAAAGGACACTGGTGTCCATGAGCCACATCCCAGGAGGGTGATTACTGTGGACACAGATTCGCCAACTGGTTATCAATACTACTTCATTCAATCATAAATCAGTCATCACTAATTGAATAAATAACAAATCAAGCACTAATCAGTCATTAATGTGTGACTACTCAATTATTCACCAGCTAAAAGCGAATTTGTCAGTCATCTGTCAATCCAGATTAGTCAGTAAGCAGTTATTAAGTGATCACAATTAATCATTATTAATCACATATCACTTAGTAATCAGTCATCTATGAGCGCATGCACCCGTTAATGAATTTGTGTAGTTTATAAGTAACTGTTTTAGCTGTCTCCATGTTTCTTGTCCATATAACAGTACAGATTTGACACTAGAGATTACAATTGTAAGTTTAATAAACAAATCAGACAACAATTTTGCACCTTTTTCTTTTTTTAGTCCATACAGTGTTTCGTTAGTCATGTCTATCCATAACCTTCTGCCACTCGTTCTTTTAATCAGTTTTGACACAGATGATCTTCCATGCAGTGATGTCAGCCTGTCGCGCATCTTTTCTCTCGGTCACCCTCTGTCTCTCTTCCCCTCCAAGATTCCCACTGTTTTCTCCTTCTCATGACATGTCTGTCGGCTCTGGGGCTAAGTCGATGCGAACGCTTCGTAATGCCGGGATGCCAGGTTCGATCCCAACTACGGGCCATGAGTCTTGCGTTGGTTTCGACAGTGTTATCAAGAAAGCCGACCGTCCAGAAGCAATGGCAAACTACTGGACGTAAATTATCTAGAAAAACCACACAACAGCCTGGGGCTGTTGGGGTTGGTTCTGCAACGTCCTGTAAAGGATACGCAACAACCATGACATGGCTAAAGAATGTAGGTTGTCTCCTTCTGATATGGGCAATCAGTTCTCTTTGTGAATTAGTTTCTTTCAGGACGTCTTCATTACTCTTTTTATCTGTCAGGGTATTCTCATCATTCGTCTCATCATTCGTCTATAAAGTATCTCAGCAGCTTCCAAATAATTTGTCACTAATCCACCAACTGTCCATGATTCACTTCCATTTATCAGAATATGATTTGTGCAGCTTTTAAGAATCCTCTTTCTAGTGACAATTGATAAAGATTGCAGAGAAGATACTTCATTTTCTAAAATGTTGCCTTCGCTTGAGCTATTCTACATGTAACTTCTACTCACCCAGAGTGCCCAGAAACTCAGAAGGCAGAGCCAGCCACAGGTTGGGTGTCAGGAGATCATCTACGTTTTCCTTCATGATACCAAACATTGCCCGGTTAGCCACAGCAGGTGAGGATGTCGCTGGCTTTCAGGTCGCTCGATGTCAACAGTGAGCACAGTGACCTCTGTGGAAACCAGGAGAGTATTTTTAAAGTAACTAAAAAAAAAAAAAAAAAGTAAAGATCCCTTTACACGCCCTTAGGCACATCGGGCATATGGGAAGAGCACCCATATTTTTACAGAGCAATCGGCACTCAGTGGGTAATATAGTCAGCATTACACCGGCCGTCTTTACTTCCCCAGGACAGCCATCCTGATACCCATTTGAGGCTGGGTCGACCTGCGACGTTTCATATCACGATAAAAATCCACGCAGCCCGCAGTGGGTTTCGATCGCGGTAAGTCCTTTTAAACGATCATTTTACGTGTGTATGTGTGTGAAAAATGGACGGAGTGGGAGAAAAGAAAAGAGGGGGGGGGGGGTAGGGTTGGAGGGTGGCTTCTTCGTCTGCTAGGCCTTGTGGTGTGGCATTATTAGTTGTATTGTTCCACAACCTTCTCTCTCGTGTACTTTTAACCAGTTCTGACACAGATTATTTTCCAGAATGCCATGATGTCAGACTGTCCAGCAACTTCTCTTTCGGTCTTCCTCTGCCACCTTTCGTCTCCAACTTTCAAACAAACCAATACAGAACAGAAGTGGTCAGGATAAATACACCGTGGAACGTGCCTAGGTGAATATAAGAGCCCTTATGGTTATAGCAGACGTGCAATGAAAAATGAACAAGAAGTCGGTCACACAATAATTCAAAGAGCAGCAGTGGAGATAGTAAGAAGACACTTAAAAAGTTGACCTTAACGACCTGCCGACGTCTGGGGCCTTAACGTTGCGAACGCGCTTCAATCCTAGCTGCGGACGATTTGTCTTAGATTGGTTTCGACAGTGGTACCAAGAGCTGATCGTTGAGAAAACAATGGCAAACTACTGAACGTACAATTTGCAACAGCTCAGATATGCTCGGTTTGTTTCTACAACGTTTTGCTAAGGATACGCAACTAAGTTTTTTAAGAGGCAGTAGATCTCTCTCTCTCTCTCTCTCTCTCTCTCTCTCTCTCTCTCTCTCTCTCTCTCCACACACACACAATGGAGCCTTAGAACACACATTGGGACGATATAGAATAAAACCTCTAGTCACTGGACTAGCCAGTGATCGAACCTCCCAATCCGCGGCAAGCGTCCAGTCGCTCCGCCACGGGGACTCCCAAATTGTTTCATACACCATAAATATTGAAAGTATTTTTGCATCATGGAGGTGGACAACGATTTTGTCATGGGCGTATCCTACGAACCGCGATAAATATTTGGGCTCAGTGGAGCCGCTAGACCTGAGTCTGCGAAGGTTCAGATAAGACATTCGTTTGAGTGCGTTTGCCTGGGCCGAACAGATAAAAACAACTCGCAGACGATAAGCTGCCCCTGTCAGTCCTCGGTCTGGCAGTTAGATAAACGGTGACGCCTCTTAGTATCGAGGTGTGGGGCTGTAGCGATACTTCCTGGGTGAAATACGTCTTCCGAATCACTGACAGTTTGTTTACAATAAATGTTGGAGTTAATCTGGTGCTTTTCCGGGTCAAGTAAACAAGAAATCGATTCCGTCATGTGTCTGCAACAAGATGTCCGTTGGCTGTAGAGTTCCTCTGCAGGTGTTTACTACATGGTTACATTGGTTTCTATCGTTTTCTACTGGAGATTTTCAGTTAGGACAGAAACTGCTGCAGCTACTACTACTATTTGACGAGGCCACTACTACTGTTATACTGCTGCTACTACTACTAATACTGCTACCACTAGTACTACCTTTGCCGTTGCTTTGCTGAAAGAGAATTTAAAAAATCGCTATGTTCAGCCAGAATCCCCGAAGAGTTAGCTTTAAGCTTTGACTAAGTTATGTGCGTCATAAAAAATGGTTTGGTATTGCACTCAACCAAGAGCCATGAAAAGGACTCTTACATAGTTGATGCGATCAAAGGAGACAGACCCAAATACTGTTCCGTTCGGTGACCCGATGACTACCACTTCTACCACAACGTGTCTGCTGGTACTCATCGCAAAGGGAGCCGCCGTGGTGTAGCGGCTAGATGCTCGCCTGCGGATCGGAAGCTCGTGGGTTCGGGACCTGACAGAGCCGGAATTTGTCAGAAATGACCTTGACCCAGATAGACCCAGCCTTGAGTGGGTACAGCGTGGACAAAGGTCCTTTACTTAGGGACAACAAAGTGCCTAATATAGTAGCGCTAAAAGAGGATACTTAAAAAGGGTGTCAGTACTGCGTACCGCCATAAAATAAGCGCTCTGACTACTACTACTACTACTACTACTACTACTACTACTACTACTACTACTACTACTACTACTACTACTACTACTACTACTACTACTAATCTTGCGCTGCTGCTACTAATATTGCCGCGTTTCTCTAAAAATATAACGGTGTCTGATATTAATTTTTGCCTAAAAAGACCAACGTATTTGTATAGACCAATGTAGTCAACTTGACCCGGTACCCCCTCAAAGCTGGGTCGACTTAAGAGCCAAGGTCATTTTTGAAAAAAAGCCCTTTTTTCAGGACATCACCTGCAGATGGTATCGAACCGAGCACCTCGGCATTAGGAAGCGTGTTCACAACACTTAATTCACAGACGCCGCCAACTTACAAAAAGCTTCGTAATCTTCAGGCCCCACCAGTTTTTTTGTAGTGACACAGAACAGACAAATTATCACTTAATATAGCACATATTTGTGCGCTATTTGCGATTTTTGGGCGTCAGCTGTGGTTTCTGAATGCCAGTCTGAATTTTGCGTTAATAAACTGGTAACTAATAACGCTATCAATGCCAGCTATAAGCATAACAGGAGAGGAAAGGCGAGGCAAAAAACACTCCCTCTTTAAGAAGCGTTAATGAAGTGCCTCTTTAGAAAACAACAAAGCAAGCGTTTTTCTTTACGGTGGCCAGACTTGAGTGCCACGCCCAAGTGACATACTTCTGTGTGTTTCATGTGTCTACTACAGTTAATTCTAAAGACACACAACGATTTTTCGAGCTCCTGGTCATGCTGGGGTAGAACATTGTTCTTCAACCTGTCGACCACGACCCCCTAGTAGGCATCTGAAAAATCCAGGTTAGCTGCTGCTAGGCCCCTGATGGGCCGTTCAAAAGTCTAGATGGGCCGACAAACATTTGTGTCTAATCATGTAAGAGGGTAGAAATGGGCAATATTTCTCTTCCAGTATCATTACCACCTCAAGTATGAGAGTCAAACAGGATCATATTCTGTAAACTTCGCTCAACTACGTCATCAGTTATATCAGAGCCTTAGACGGTTACGTAAGCTGTAGTCATGTATAGTACCGTTGCTTTGCTAGGGGGAGGGGTGTGATCACGTTCAAGCAGCATCTCTGAAGGGGGAGCTTTAGGTTATAATCGTGACACTGTTATGTGTGCCATGTAAAATGGCTTAGCCTTGCAGGCCACCAAAATCACTGAACAATACTCCGGCAGTGTTAATGCGATCAAAGGAGACATACCCAAATACTGTCCCGACCAGAAACGAAATCGTCTACCGGCGAACCAGTGAGCGATGAGTCAAGTATGGGAATAAGGGCTATATCATGTGGCTGGTGGGAAGACAAGATAAAAAGTCATGGCATTGACATGGAAATTATGTCGATTAGTTTTTTTCTGTACATCCGTTTTACAGATTAGGTCTGTTCTTGTGCAGACTTCTAGATCCTTGCCCGTCAAACAGATGCACATCGTTTTCGAAGGAAACGATGATCCAGCGCTGTCAAGGCACCCGGTTCGGAACCGGTTTCTGGGATGATCAGGGAAAGGTGTGGTTACCTTTTGACCAGTATGAGTCCCAGTTCTGGTGCAGCACCAAATGTAGTTCAGTACCTGGGCATCCCAGGCACTGCCTTAGATTTTGTCTCTCCCCTCCCTTCATCTCATTTATCGGTTTCAGGAAACATAGTATTTTCACGACAGTATACATTACAACTTCAGTCCCCACCAACTGAAACCATTCACACAATTCATTAAAGAAAACAAATGAGATGGTTTGGCCACCTGACGAGAATGCCCTCGTATCAATTGCCACAGAGAGCCATGCTGAAGAAATATAATGAACACAGAGCAAGGGGAAGACCCCGCAAGATATGGAGCGACACTATCAGAAGCAACCTAACAGAAATAAACACCAACTTGTACAATGCATTGAGAAAAGCGCACCAACGATCCTTACATCTCCCTCCCTCCCCCCCCCCCCCCCCCGCTAAGGTCAGTGGTGGAAGAGAAGAAGAAGAAGAAGAAGTCCCCACCAAAGCACATCTTTCGATCCTCTACCGCCCATGTTTCAACCCACCGTGGTGTAGCGGCTAGACTTTCAACTATGGATTCGAAGGTCGTGGGTTCTTGACCTGACGGAGTCTGACTTTTGTTTTAAACATGACCTTGGCTCTCAGGTCGATACAGTCTCAAATGAGTACCAGATAAAGTTCTGAGAAGTAAAGGTGGCCGACGTCATGTTAACAACATCACCCACAGAGTACTGATTCGTCTATAAAATATAAGTCTAGCCCTATATGCCCAACAAGCCTGAGGGCGTGGAAAAGGGTCCTTATTTGACTGCCCGTGTGTCCCAAACACCGCATGATGTGATTCGATTTTTTTATAATAAACTTGTGACCCCTTATGTTAAAATTCGTCAAAGTATGTTTTATATTGTATGTGAAAGTAATGTGTATGCGTTATTCCTCGTGGCTGTCAACTATTCATTAGACAAATCCAACGAGATCTTAACGGACTGAAAGATGTCGACAAATTTTCCAACATTGGTGAAAGTAACTGGCCACTTAACTGTCACTTCGTAAGTTGGGTAGCTAGGGTAGAGTAACAGTAATCGCTAGCCTGCTCGCCTGCTAACCGAGTCTGATTTCTGTTTAAAATGACCTTAGCTCATATGTCAACCTAGTCTTAAATGGATACCAG